TGTGTATCCTTAGGTATTTCTTTAGGAAAAGACACTCTAAACCTTTAAAAAGCAAAAAAACAGTTGGGCAATATGAATGTTTTAAACCGCCTTAAACATGTGAAAGAGTGATGCCGAGCTGGAGAGCACAAGCAGGTGACGGTCGTTTACAGATTCCGGACACCTTTAAGTGAGTCGTGAGTTCACCCGCATCAGTGGTGGGGGACCAATGGACTGAGTCCTCCTTCTCTCTGAGGTGTAATTACTCATTCCAGAAAGACACAAAATATTCAGGAGAGTTCAAATACCAAACACATAGAAGAATATATGCATGATTATTGAAGACTTTTAATTAGTCTCTCCCTGTTATCTTTCTATCAAGGGAACCTGAAGACCCAAGAATAACCCCAGCCTCTGAGATACTAACTCAAGTGAAGTGCTTATATACTTGGCTGTTAGTCTCCACCTCCTGCACTTAAAGTACCTGGGTCCTTGAATAGAAATGAACCACTCTTGCTCACAAAAAAATCACAGGTGTAGCTATGTTTTTGAGTAATTGCAAACTAGTGCCTCATCATAACACATAGAAAGCAAAAGATTCAGGAAACAAAACACAGATGGGTTGTATTACTGAAATTATTCACATAATGTAAGGTCAGTTCTTAGAAAGCTAGAATTCTATTTATTCCACCTGCTTTCCTCTTAAATTTCCATTCAGAGATAAGGCAATTGGGTTTGTTACACTTCCTTCCACATTTGGTTCTCTATTTCCTACCCCCAAAAATATATTAGGCCTTGGATGTGTAGGGCCACATATTACTCCTGCATTTGGGTGTGGCTGGTATAAATAAATCCACACATTGCCATTCATATGAAGAGTACAGTGCATGCAGTTGTGTACATGATAATTGGTGATGATAATGTGTATTTTATGTATTTACTATACTAGGTATTTACTACATACATTTTTTTTGAGTGCACCCTTTCTACTTAGACAGAAGTTTGCTATTAAACAATAAGCCATCTTGTGCTGGCATATTCATAGATTTTGTGTTTACTATGACTGCATCATTTTCTCTTGTGCTTGATTTAATCTGGTGTTGTTTTATAAACTTAGTGTAGCCTAAGTTTGCAGCATGTATGAAGGCTGCAGTGTTATAATGTCCTAGGCCTTCACATTCACCCTCCACTCACTCAGTGACTCCCCCAGAGCAACTTCTAGTCCTGTCATCTCCATTCACGGTAAGTGCCCTCTATGGGTGCACCAGTTTTTATCTTTCATTTTTACTGCACCATACTTTTACTGGACATTTTTGATGTTGAGACATGTTTAGATGCACACACACTTACCTTTACAGTATTTAGTACAGTGGCATGCTGTACAGGCTGGTAGCCTTAGAACAACAGGCTCTAGCACACAGCATAGGTGTGTAGTAGGCTAGACCATCTGGGTTTGTATGAGTGCAGGCTAGGGTGTTCGCACAATGACAGAATTGCCTACGGGTGGATCTGTCAGTGTGTCTCATCATCGAGTGGCGTATGACCACACATGCGCACACTCGGTAAACGCGGTTACCCACGCTGAGGCTAAGTCACCGAAGCACAGGCAGAGAACTTGGGTGTAGACTAGAACTCCTACCTTAAGTCTCAGGCTGTCTTGCGATTCAAGTGATGAAATTTTCATATTTTATTTAATTTGAATATGATATTATACAGATGATGGGATTCTGCTGATGCAGTAAAAATTCCAGAGTTATATGTGTTCCATTTTTGAGTTCTGATATTCATGCAGGTAATTAGGGTAATTCTGTCTCTGCTATTTATTCTCATATTTGAAAAATATAACTTTAATATAGCTCAAGCCACACTGCCTGGAGATAGGATACATTATGTCTGAGCTCAGAGCAGAGATCCTTTATCTCTCACATAACAAATGATTAAATTCTTGCTTCTTTAACTTCCCTGTGAACTCTGGGGAGAAAAAAGAATTCCAAGTAGCCCCTAAGGTCCCTACTCCCTGGTATATACCCCCTGTGAAATTGCTCCCCTTGAATGTGGGTGGAACCTGTGAATATAATGGGATGTCACTCTCTTGATTACATTCTATTACATAACACATTGTCACAGCAGGCTGGAGAGAGATTTTCATGATGGCTTTGGAGACGCGAGCTGTCGTGTTACCAGATGACCAGGTGGCTAGGACTTGAAGGTGGTCTCTGGAAGCATGAAGTGATGCTCCCTGCCAGCAGCCAGCAAACAAAATGAAACAAAACTAAACTAAACAACCAAGGGCCTTAATCTTAAAACTGCAAGGACCTGAACTCTGCCACCAAACTCAGTAACCTTGGCAGAGGATCCCAAGTTTTGGATGAGATCATAGACCCAGCTGACAAGTTGGTTTCCACTTGGTGAAACCTTGAGCAGAGGACCCAACTCATTGACTCAAAAACCTCAAAACAGTACATTCGAATTGCTTTAGGCTGCTAGATTTGTGGTAATTTATGATGCACCAGTATAAACAAATGTAAAGGATTTCTTCTACTTCCTGTTGGATATATTGGTGTGCGCCTCTTTTGGGTATGTTGTGTGTGTGAGAAGAGAATGACGATGATAAAGTCACTCCATCAACTTTTCTAAAGATGGTTTGTAATAAGCAAAGTCAGGAATAAGTCTAGAATTATCTACCATGGATGGTGCAGTTGCCACATGGAGAGGGTTCTTCATATTCTCACAGGGAGAGGGATCAAAGCTCTGGGGAAAAGACGAACCTCCCCCATGCATCGGCACTGGACACGCCCTTCTCTTTGGAATCTTCTTGATTTATGTCCTCATGGCATTGGGGACCCTCCTCACCCACCTTCATACTCCCATGTCCTACCTCCCGACCATCCTGTCCTTCTTTGACATGGGGCTCTTCTGGGTCACTGACCCCAGAACGCTGATGACCTTGGCCTCCACAGGGAGGCAGAGCTAGCTCCTTTCACAGCTGTGTGGCCCGGCTCTACTTCCTCCACTTCCTGAGAAGCACCAAGTCGAGTCCTAGGCCCACCGCCTGGCCATGGTTTCCCCATGCAGGTATACCAGCCTGACTCGGGGAGGATCTGCGCCCTCCTGGCCACAAGCACGTGGCTCGGGGGGGTCTCCGCAGTCTGCTGTCCAGAGCTGTCCAGATCAACCAATGTCCTGTTTGTCCTGCTGTGGATGCAGCTGGATTGAGCATCACTCATCCTCAAACTGGCCTGTGCGGACACCTCTGTCCACTGGTGGAGGCCTTCCTCAGCATCCCGGAAGTGCCCTCCGGCTGCTCAGCATCCCTCCGGCTGCTTCCTCGCACTACTTGTCCCACGTGTCCACGTCTGCGCCATCCCCAACACCTGCTCCTCAGAGGGCAGATGCAGAGCCTCTCCGACCCACGCCTGCCCTTTGGTTTTTGTTCCCTGTGTTTCCATTTACCTGAGGCTGGACTCCAAGCGTGTGCCAGCGGGGCTGTGGCAGTTTTCCTCCACGTGCTGATTCCATGTGTAAGCCCTGTGGTTGCACCGAAGGGACAAGGAAGGGAAGAAGCCACAGTCAGGCTTCCAGACAGAGCCTCATATTCTCAGGGCCCTTGAGGGTGCAATGCAGGTTCTTTCATTTTTATGTACAGATGGGGCGGCACATTGTGATGAAGCATTTAAAACCTAAATGAGGTGGAGGTAGAGTAGATGAGGTACTTTTCATATTCTGTGGGGAGAAATAAATGCAGTTTGAGAAATTCTACATCTGGTATATAAAATGCACATAACTATACAAAAATCTAGTATAGAAAATTTAGTGTAAAATTTACTATTTTAAAAAAATCCAGCAAAGCTATTATTTAGAATGGAAGGGCAGATAAAGTGCTTTCCAGATAAGGTCAGGTTAAAGGAGTTCATCATCACCAAGCCTTTATTATATGAAGTGTTAAAGGGACTTAGCTAAGAAAAAGATAAAAAACTATGAACAGTAAAATGACAACTAACTCACAACTATCAACAACTGAACCTAAATTAAAACAAAAACAAACTAAGCAAACAACTGGAACAGGAACAGAATCACAGAAATGTAGATAATTTCTCCATTTCCAATAACTCTGGAGGGTTATTAGTGGGGAGGAGGAGGGGAAAGAATGGGGGAAAAGGTACATGGAATAAAAAGCATAAATGGTAGGTACAAAATAGACAGAGGGAGCTTAAGAATAGTATAGGAAATGGAGAAGCCAAAGAACTCATATATATGACCCATGGACGTGAACTAAGTGGGGGGATGCTGGTGGGAGGAGGGTGCAGGGAGGATGGGCATAATGAGGAAGAAAAAATGGGACAACTGTAATAGCATAACCAATAAAATATACGTAATAAATAAATAAATAAATAGCTACAATTTTGTAGTTACAGAATACTCGTGGGGATATAATTACAACATAGGAAATATGGTCATTAATATTGTAATAACTATGTATGGTGGTTACACGAGACCTATCATGGGGAATATTTCATAATATTATTTCAAATTATATAACTGTCTAACCACTATGCTGTATACCTTAAACTAATATAAAATAATACTGTCAACTGTAATTTAAAAAAACAAAAGAAAATAAAGCAAATAGGGCATAATGTTAAAATTTCATGAAGTTGGGTGATATATCCACAGGTATTTATTATATTATTTTGTATTTCTTGTGAATATTGGAAATATTGTACAATAAAATAAACAAAAGAAATGTATGGTATTATATAGTACTCTAAATTTTATTATATTAGCTATAAGGTATTTATTATACTTTAACAAATATGATTAAATGGTGAGAACAAACAGAAGAAACTCTTTAGCAGACAGGGATTTTAAAAAGCCATGTTCTGGCCCTTCTTACGGACCCAACCATCTCACAGTCATTTGCATAGAGCCACACACAGACCACGCGTCTGGAGATGCACCCAAAGCTGCTTTCATTCAGATGAGCTTTTTGAGTGATCCAGTATCGAAAGAGCCCAGGTTACACGACGTTTTTGGCTTTGTTGTTTCCTTAGGGAACCTTGGTCTAAGTTTTTGGACTGCACGTGGACAATACTACGAGGCATTATGGTGAGTTTTTGCAATGAAGCCACTTCGATAGAGCTCCCAGATTGCTGTGTGTCATGACTTTCTTCTGCAGAATTCATGGCTTGCTTGTACTGTAGAATACACAGGATTCCTGGGGAAAAGAGAAGCCAGGGGAGGGCAGTGAAGGAACAATAGTCACAAAAACATGTTCCTCCCTGTTGGCAGAGAGACCCTGACCCCAAGTTCAGTGGGTCTCTTTTGAACTGTCCCAAGTCATTTGGAAGGTGGGTGCTTTAGTGTAAGAGACCAAAGTATGCAGAATAGCTTAAATGCTTCTTAAGTAAACAAAATTGAGGATTCGTTTTGAAAAAGGGCATGCTTATGCATTAGAAATTTCTAAATAAAATTTTAAAGCTTTTTTTTTTTTTTTTTTTTTAAGGAATGGTCTCCAGTGTTGGTGCCTGGACATTTAATATTAGATATTGTTCTACTCTAACCTAAAGTTGCCTTGGCCCTACACCGCCCACCCAGGGTTACTGCCCTGCTTTGCAGGAGTGAACATTCCAGATTACCCCTCTCCTTAGTCTTGAGTTTGATGGTTATCTCTTCCCAGAAATGGGGAGGGTGTGAAAGACAGCAGAAAAGGCAGAACTAAGGAGCTGCCCTCTGAGGCAAGCACACCGAACCACTCCTGCAGTCCTCATCTCCATCTCTCTCCTTATGAGAATTGTCATCAGGGAGGGAGTCCACTTGAACTTGAGCCCCTTAAGATGCAAGGGTTGGTACTTTTTACTTCATTCATTCTTGTCCTTTCACTTTCCCTTCTATCAGGGATGAATTTGTTCTTATAACCCATCAAAGGCCCTGAAGACACTCACCAGAGGCAAAAAGGAAGAAAACACTTAAGTAGGCAGTGGAAATGATCCAGGTGATTTTATATCCGGAATAGTACACGGATCGCCCTCGCCTTAGCTTCAGGTGATATAGCAGGAGTGCGCAGAGCAGAAGGATGCCTGAAGTCCAAACAAAAGAAAGAAAAAGCCCCTTCTGGGGAACCTCGACTCTTCCATTCATTCATCTTGATCCCAGATATGCCTAACTGTAAGCCTCCACCCCATACAAAGGCATCTTATCCGAGAACCAGTCCTATCTCAGTGGTTGATTCAACTCAGAAGCTGCACATCTGAGCCAGAAATTTGGGAAGGCAACATGAGTCAAAAACCACAGGTTGGACCCACAAACCAAGTTTACCTTCAAGCCTGTGTTAGGGGAGCTAGGACATTACCTGTGAAGAAACTGAGGAATACAGTGATGAGGAAGATATATTTAGTTTGAGGAATCATAAAGGTGAATTCCAATCCCAGGAACAAGTTATGGAAGAAGGAGAAGCTGATCACCAGGATCAACATGATCCTGACCACTTTCAGGTCATCTGTTGGAAAGCAGAAGCTATGATGAGAGAAGGTCAAATGTTTCTCGTAGGCTCATTCCTACCCAAGGGCCACAAACCTCTAAATAAAAATGAAAATGGGGTGAAATATTTGATTAAACAAGAGAAATGGAAGAGAAATAGTGAAGCAGAGAACCATAAGCTGAATGGGAGCAAGGGCCAAAAGAAGCCATTCTCTGTCTTGACATCTTGGTAAGCCTCTTTCTGCTTTCTCCTTTTATCAGAACTCATTCCTCAATTTATTCTGTTCCCCTCTGATGATGATATAACCTGCTTTCCTTGTTGGCAGTTCTCTTTCTTTTATACCCTTATGTTCCTGCTGTGCTGGTCACCTTCCTGCTACTGCCAAGGCTTCTCAACTGTCCCGCAAGTAAGTCTGCAAACATCTAAACTTTTCACCAGAACAGAAATGGTGGGGTTTGGGATTCTGCCTTAGCTGTGTTGATTATGGAAGTGGGCACACTGCAACCTGAGGAAACTGCACCAGAGAATAATGAGTCAGCTGGTAAGGCAAACAGAAGTCAAGGAAAGATGAACCCTCCCTCCCCACCCAGCTTTTCATGGTGTAGTTCTTACCTTTTGGCCAAATAGTGGTGTATATCCATGGACTATGGCTTTGCATATTGGTTTTTGTTTCAAAATTCAGTGTAACCCAGTCATCGACCATAACTCCCAAGGACAAGAAGACTAAGGCCCAGGAGGAGAAGAACATGTTGAGGGCCTGGATGTTCCTGGTTGATGGCTGCACCACTGGAGTGGAGATGCCAAGCTGAGACCACCCACCACCCATATCTCCCATGTCCTTTCTCTGATTTTGTAGTCACAGGAAGAAGGGAAATCTAGACTTTCAGTGATTGCTGAGGCAATGGCAGTGGCAGGAGCTGAAGTAGCCTATGGAAAAGAGAAGATAAATCCCACTCCTCCCCACGCCTCTATCTGGGCCTCACTGCTGTACGAGCTGCCAACTGCCATGGAATCATCTGTGGGCCTGACCCTTGACCCTGGGGTTTGCTGCAGTGGAAGGTCCTGGAAAAGCTATCAAATATAAAGGGAGATATGATATCACATATATAGAGACCTATCAGATACATGGATAGCTAGAGGCCTTGAAAGAAGTTAAATGTGCAAGACTTAAGAGGCCTAATTTTAGAGATAGAATTACATGTTCCAGGACTAGTTGATAGGTAGGGGTCAGTGAAGAGTAGGAGGAATTCAGATCACTGAAATGAGTAATCAGCTAGCAGCATCACAAAAGGGAATGATCATTCAAAACCCAGGATGTTTTTGAAAATATATTTTGATTATGCTATTACAGTTATCTTATTTTTTTCTCCCCTTTATTCCTCTCCACCCAACACTTCTCCTCCCAGCATCATCCCACCCCCACTTAGTTCATGTCCATGGATCATACATATAAGTTCTTTGGCTTCATTTCCTATACTATCCTTAACCTCCCCCTGTCTATTTTGTATCTACCAATTATGCTTCTCATTCCCTGTACCTTTTCCCCAATTCTCCCCCTTACCCCTCCCTGCTGATAACCCTCCATATGATATCCATTTCTAGGATTGTCTTCCTGTTCTAGTTGTTTGCTTAGTTTGTTTTTGTTTTTGCTTTTTTAAGGATCAGTTGCTGATAGTTGTATGTTAATTGTTATTTTATTGTTCATAGTTATGATCTTCTTTTTCTTAGATAAGTCCCTTTAACATTTCATATTATAAGGGCTTGGTGATGATGAACTCCTTTAACCTAACCCTATCTGGGAAGCACTTTACCTGCCTTTCCATTCTAAATGATAGGTTTGCTGGATAGAGGAATCTTGCCTTTCATGACTTCAAATATTTCATTTCAGCCCCTTCTTGCCTGAAAGGTTTCTTTTGAGAAATCAGCTAATAGCCTTATGGGAACTCCTTTGTAGGTAACTGTCTCCTTTTCTCCTGCTGCTTTTAAGATTCTCTTCTTATCTTTAATCTTGGGTAACTTAATGATGATGTGCCTTGGTGTGTTCCTCCTTGGGTTCAATTTCTTTGGTACTCTCTGAGCTTCCTGGACTTTCCTGGAAGTGTATTTCCTTAGCCAGATTAGGAAGTTCTCTTTAACTATGTTTTTGAGCAAATTTTCAATTTCTTGCTCTTCCTCTTCTCCTTCTGGCACCCCTATGACTCAGATGTTGTAATGTTTAAAGTTGTCCCAGATGTTCTGAAGCCTCTCCTTATTTTTTTGAATTCTTATTTCTTCATTCTGTTCTGGTTGACTGTTTATTTCTTCCTTCCTCTTCAAATTGTTAATTTGAGTCCTGGTTTCCTTCCCTTCACTGTTGATTTCCTGTATATTTTTCTTTATTTCACTTTTCATAGCCTTCACTTTTTTTTTCTATTTTGCAACCATACACAACCATTTATGTGAGTATCCTGATAACCAGTGTTTTGAACTCTGCATTTGATAGGTTTGCTATCTCCTCGTCACTTAGTTGTTTTCCTGGAATTTTGCTCTGTTCTTTCATTTGGGCATAGTTCTTAGTCTCAGTGCACCTGTTATGTTGTAAGGGGCAGAGTCTTAGGTATTTGCCAGGATAGGGCAACTAAAGTTGCTGTGGTGCTGTCTGTGGGGGAGAGGTTCTAGAGGGAACAATGCTGCTCACCTGACTCTCGGCTGGCTTTCAGTCACTTCCCCCACTACCCACAAGCAAATTTGGCCCTGCTGGTGCTGATTCCTCAGAAGGTGAGTTTATGTACATTCTAGGATCCTGTGGGTCTCTCCAACGAACTCTCCTGTGAGGCTGGGAGTTTCTACCACCACTGCAATTCCCACAGATTTTTACAGACAAAGGTTTTGAGGCTTTAGTTTTCCATGTTGGAACCCTGGGTTGTATGGTCTGTCTTGCTCCCCAATTGTTCCTCTCAGTTTATCCTCATGCAAATGTGGGACTGCCAGCTTCTGCTTTGCTGTGAGTTTTCTCCACCCCAGCTGCCTGTCTCTATCCCTGCTACCAGTCTGCATGGATGTTGCTTCTTTAACTCCTTGGTTGTCAGGCTTTCATATGGTTAGATTTTTGGCGCTTCTGGTTGTTTTTATTTTTGAATTTGTTGTTGTCCTTGTTCTGGTTGTGAAAGGAGGTAAAGTGTATCTGCCTGTGCCTCCATCTTGGCCAGAAGTTCCAAAACCCAAGATGTTTTAGAGAAACTTTGCTCCTCATCTGGAAAACCTAAAGCAGTTTAACCAGGTAGGCAGGCATGTAGGAAGGCAACCAGTCTCTTGACACCAAAAGAAATGGACTGATACACCAAACCAGGCCATCCAATATCACTTATAAGGTATAGGCAATTATTCATCAAAATTGCCTTTGTGTCTAGGCAGAGTAAACATTTTTGGATTCCTTGGATAGGCAACCATGGAATGCACTAACTTAGAGTCAGAAAACTTGCACTGAAATAAAAAAAAAAAAAAAGCCTTTTTCTGAACTAAGATGAAAGCCATCTCCAAACTTCTTTCTGTCTACTTTGAAGTATCTGTGATTTCTGGGTTTCTTCATTGTCTCAAATATGTTATGGTGTTTTTCAAGCCTCTACATTAATCTTATTATGTTTTATTTATCTTTTTAATTTTTAAAACAATGATCAATATATTTAATCTTACAAAGGAGAGATTGTGGTAATGAAATGGGTTCAGGATTCTGATTTTAAATCCTGGTTCTACCACTAAACAGCTTTGTCATCTTAAAGATGATAATGTTTCCTAGTACATAATGATTTTGTAAGGATTAAATGAATTTAGAGATGTAAAGCCTTTAACAGTGTTCCCAGCATGAAACAAATGATACATAAGCAATTACCATAGCATTAATTTGGATTTTTCTGGGAAGGAGATACTGAGGCAGAGATTTGTATGTGGGGAGTTTCTGGGAAGTATACCCAGGTACCATACCTGTTAAGTGTTTCAGAAAATCAGGCAGAGCAGATTCCCTAAAGTTGAGACTTCAACATTTAAGAGCAGAAGTTGAACTGAGATGCAGTTGCAACACAAGAAATGTTGGCTATCACCACTGAAAGCCCTGAGTCTGGGATGGTCCTTCAGAATCATCCTGAATGGAGCAAGATTGTTCAGTTTGTCACAGCATGCAAGCTGCCTCAGACAATTCTTTTGTCTTGGGGACTGCAAGCATCATCAGTCAACATTTCCGGTGGCATGGGAATGAGTCTTCACCCTGCTCCTCTTCTGTAGCAGGACCAGTGGGCTATTAGGGCTGTGAGCTGCACAGCATTTTTCTGTTGGTTTGACCCTTGACCCTTGACCCTTGGGTGAAGCAGAAGGACCATGAGTGCAACAGGAAGAACACCACAACGACTTATGTTATATTTTTACATGCTGATGCTTTTACTTGTATGCAATAGATCCTTAGGGGTAGGATTTCTGGGCTAAAAGATTTGTGTTTCTTAAATTTTAATAGGTAATGATGGTACAGATATAAAGCTATGGCCAGATTAAAAAAACTGATAGAAGCTGAGGGATTTAGTGAGATACAAGTTAAAAGAGAAATCCAGTGTCCAGACATGGATGATATTAAATAAGATGCCAAATAGGAGGAAACACAAGCCCACTGAGCAAGAAGTTAGCTGGAGCTGGTGTGAGTCACACAGCATATGGTGTCAGCAGGATGCACAATAGATGGAATTCATCCAGGAATTTGACGACAGGGTAGCGGTGTCAGCCAAAGGATAGCACTTGAAACATGTGTGGGAATTTCACTGAGTAGGAATATCACACATGATAGTAATTTTGCTTACAAATACAGACAGTTTATTTCCTTTTATAATCTGGATGCCTTTTATTTCTTTGCCTGGCTTACTTATCCCATCTAGAAATTCCGGTACAGTGTTGAACAGCAGTGATAAGATGGACATTCTTGTCTTGTTTCTAATCTTAGGGGGAAAACATGCAGTTTTTACTAGTAGGTATGATGTTAGGTGTGGGTTGTTTGTTTTTGTTTCCTTTTTAATAAGTTGAAAGTAATCCCTCTATTTCTAGTTAGCTGAGAGTTTTTATTAAGTGTATATTTGAATTTTCCAAATAAATTTTTTGCATTTATTGAGTTGATCATGTAGTTTCCTCCCTTTTAAAAATTTTGTTACTATAGTGAAATACATTGCTTTAGTTTGGAATGTTGAACCTAACTTATATTTCTGGAATCCACACCTCTTGATCATGTCGTATAATCATTTTTATATGCATTGAACTTAATTTGGTTAAATTGTATTAAGAATTTTTATATCCTCATTTGTAAAGAATATTAATTGCTAGATGATTTTGTGTAATGTCTTTGATTAGTTTTCATATCAAGGTAATGCTGGAATCACAGAATGAGTAGAGCAGTTTTTATTTATTCTTTCTTTGTATAAATTTGACATTATTCTTAAATATTTTGAAGATTTCCCCAGTAAAACCTTGTGACCTTGATTTCTAAATTAATTCCTTTGTAGTCAGAAAGGACACTCTCATCACTTTAAGCTTATTGAGATTTGTTTTATGGTCCAAGGTTGGCACTTCTGGGTGTTCCATGTGTGTTTGATAAAAACATGTTCCATCCAAACAAGACCATGGTGTATTCTATAAATGTCAACATTGTCAATTTAGTTCACAGTATTGTTCTACACTTATTGGTTTTCTCTTTAGGACCTATCAATTACTGAGAAGAAATATTAAAGTCTCTAACTATAACTAGAAATTTGTCCATTTCTCTTTCCTGTTATATC